TTAGGGATGTCGGGTTTGCCGGGCATGCGAAGAGATGTTTCGAGTCATGTGGGGTCTCTCCGCATGCCGGACATTCATTAGGCACATCCTCATTCAGCCTACTCAGGTAGGAGTTTAACCTGCTGCAGTAGCCGGAGCGAAGTTGTGCAAGTGTGGTGCGCGTCTCCCGAGGCAGATGAAGCTCCGTCTCGTCAATGTCCGGGGGTGGTGTGCCTTGGACGGCATTCACCAGGCATCCGGTCGCTGTAAGTGCTGTATTTTGTACTGTCTGTAGCTTCGTCCACTGCGTCCTACTAGTCCCCGGCGACCACACTGGTGCTGCGTAGTTTAAAACCGGCCGGCCTATTGCCTTGTATGTTGCCAGATACGTTTCTTGGCCCCTATTATGAGTTGCATCCGATTTTCGACCTTGGTCGAAAGTGCTGAGCGAACGAATTTTCATTTGGGGTCATGGCGCTCATTCAATGAAGAATAGCGCTATTGTGAATTTCGCTCGTTTATGTTGTTCATTATTTATCGAAATATTGATTTTTATGGAAAAAGCGACGCAGGCAAAAATTTTTAATAAAAAATCGCGATTTTTTATTAAACAAATTTTCATTATCAAATTATCGATGTACTTTTTCATTATTTATCGAAGTATTGATTACTATGGAAAAAGCGCCGCAGGCGAAAATTTTTAATAAAAAATCGCGAATTTTTATTAAAAATTTTCATTATCAAATTACGTACTTCTTCTACATTTGTGTACTTTGAACTACAATAACACCAGTAAATATTATTTCCCCCCGAAAAAAATTATACCGATATGATCAGCAGTAAGACCCCTATCGATCCTAATATTATTTTTAATAAAAGCAATGAACATATTATACACCTATACCCCCTAATTATACGCACTTATTTGTGGTGTATTTTTTTAATATGGTAGCATACATTTTGTGTTACTGTCAACCATTGTTATTTCTGCTTGTTTGTGAAATGTGCAAACGTTTCTGAAGACATTTAAGCTGAAATGAGTCAAGAACGTAACTTACCGGTACGTAAACCCGAGTCAGCTGACACGATCTGTCTTACCAANCTGAAGACATTTAAGCTGAAATGAGTCAAGAACGTAACCTACCGGTACGTAAACCCGAGTCAGCTGACACGATCTGTCTTACCAAAGCGCCATGTAAATGAAAACCCAACACCGCAGAATTTTTCTGTAGTTGTAGTCCGTAGCGCAGAAATCTGCGGAATTAGATTTTTCGGTGTCAGCTGATTTCTCCTTCTTTAGATGGTTGCCACTTCGTCAGTTTTGCAGATGTTAAAAAAGTTATAAGTTCCTATTCAAAATACGTTTAAAATATTTGAAATTTACTATTGAATAAGGTTTTTTGTTAAAAACTAAGTAGTTTATATTAAGCTACGACCTATTATAGTACCAAAAATTGTAGTTGAAAGGGTAAGTTTATGAAAAGGCATTGAAGAGTGGCAACAGTGTAGTAAGCAACACTGAGGGCTCCAGTAATCGACAAAATTTTGCGTATACAGACTGCGTTTAAGTATACGTTCTGCGTTCTCGACTAATTTCAGCTTTATAAACGCGTTTTACTTAATTCATTAATTAACAATTGTATATTAAAGTATTCCAAACGGATGCGAACCTCTAAGGATAATATATTTGTGTAAATAAGTGATAGGTGTGGGGTTATAATAAAATGTAGTGATAGCAGGCGGGATATTTTAACAAATAACTTAAGTACTATTAGCAACAACATTGTGAAAGTGAGAAATATAGTTGAAGGAGACCTCCATTAGTATCCCCACCGAGTTTCATAAAAAATTCAGTATATTTTGCACAGAATAGCAATTGGTTCCGTAATGGAAATCTAAGCCGTGAGCGCTACTAGACATTTCCCATTATATTATTTTAAAATATCACAATTTTAAAGGTAAGTGGGCGTGACACCTCTAACCCACCTTTTTGGAGAGGGAATGAACCGCCATTGACAAAAATGCAACCCCCGACCGCCTAGGTCCCCTGTGGTTCCCTAGGGACCCTTAGAAAAATCGCCAAAAATCACAACTTTCATTTGCGTTTATTCGCTTGAAAAATGTTAAATATTCATTTGCACAATACATTTTTATATGCGGGTTCTATTGTAGCAGCGGAATTTTCGATCACAGTGGACATCAATGGGGTTTTCCGAATTTAGTACAGGATTGCTCAAAATATCACTAGTGTATTAAAAATAAATTTTAACTCTACCATTGTACTTTGTGTATGAACACATACGAAACGACCCGGTTTACAAACTCCCAGTTTATATCTACACAGCACTAAAATNGGGTTCTATTGTAGCAGCCGAATTTTCGATCACAGTAGACATCAATGGGGTTTTCCGAATTTAGTACAGGATTGCTCAAAATATCACTAGTGTATTAAAAATAAATTTTAACTCTACCATTGTACTTTGTGTATGAACACATACGAAACGACCCGGTTTACAAACTCCCAGTTTATATCTACACAGCACTAAAATTCTTGTGATTTCTAAAAAAAAACATCGATGAATCGGAAACATCGATGTTTGGTGTTAGATCAGTGTTGCCAGGGTGTATCTCGTTTTTAACTAATGCCTTGGTTATAAGCACCGGGCGTATCGTAAAAGCCCTGCCAGATACTAAGTTTATACGTAAGATATTTGCAAATAAAAATAATTTGCAAATACCTAACTCACTGTTTATTCGATAGTGAAACATCTTTTTTTAATATTGCCTGATTATAAAAAGGCAATAATATGAAAATAATATCGAAAAAGAAAATAGAGTTAAAAATGGCAACGTCTTGATTATAAAAAGGCAATAAGATGACCATCGAAAAAGAAAATAAACCTAAGAATGGCGGCGTCTTGCGCTTATTTGCGAATAGTACCACTAACCAATACTTATTTGCGTGATTTAGTTATTTGCAAATAAAAAAATTAACTCAGCGTTTATACGGAAAATTTTACCATTTTGCAAATAATACGCGCGTATAAACGTAGTAAGACATATTAGCATTGTATACTACATGTTTGTCGTTGTAAACCACAATTATAACATCGTACAAAGTGGTTTAAAGATGGTTCCTATACTACGAAAATTAACGAGGTAAAAAGCGAGTATTGCCCCGTATACAGCTCTTAAGAAAACGGTCAAGAAAAATTTGCCATTCCATGCTCATTATTTTTTATTGAAAGCATCTTCAAACATGTACGTACATCTGTACATAGATATTATACGTCGGCATCGATGGACATATGTATTCTTAAATAATTACAAAATTGATATAAACAGCTTTTACCATTATTATATGAGTTAAAATTTTATTTATTTTCATCTTCTGGTTTCTCCAAAACTTCGACTATTCGTCCTCTATATTCTTTTGTTATGTTTATTCTTACGAGTTTCTGCACCTCCTTGTCTTCTTCAATTTTGTGCACACCTCTTATATGACGCTTAATCCTGAAAAGTTATATACATACACATATACATATATGTACATGTAGGGCATAATCATACTTTATTACTAACTTGTAAGCATCTGGAAACTGCTTTTCACAAACGCCACATTTATAAGGTAATCCAGTGTGTTGCATGCGATGATTATAGTATTGATCATATTTGGAGAATTTAGAACCACAAATCACGCACTTGTAACTGAAATATCCATGGTACTGCATGTGCCTATTTAAAATACGTTTGTGGATGAAAGATTTTCCACAAAGGTGACACACAAATGGCGATTCTCCAGAATGAGTGCGTAAATGAACATCTAGGTCTATTTGCCGCACAAACGTTTTTGACAAACTTGGCATTCTATCGTAGCTCCCTTGTGATGGAGCTCGTGGATTGTTAGACCATTTTTATGAAGAAATGATTTTTCACACTGATCACATTGATATATTGCTTTGCGGTTGGTTTCGTGTGATAGCCTGTGTTTTTTGTATGTATACCGAGTTAAAAAGCTTTGGTTACAGATATCGCACGGAAATCTTTCCCGATTCTCATTACAAATTGGTCATAGGCAAAAGATGGTTTCTTTTGTTTACTTTTTACCGCTCTTCTTCTGCCATTGTTTACTATTCACGGTGCATTATCAAACGTCAAAATTACTGGCATACTACTATTTCAAGCAGAAGAAAGAACACGAACATTTTCTTGTGCATTTTCTTACAGGCTAACCTAATATTCACGCACGCCGCCAATTTATTGTCAAAAATTTCTCATGCACATGCAACTTGTGTGAGATCAACCGAAATTGAACGGCGTGCGTATGACTTTCTTAAGAAATTTACTACGCTTTCTACTACGGTTTTCTAAAGTTTTTTGTGAAAAAAGAGCATAAGGCAACCCAGGTTTGCAACAGAAATATATGCCCGTTCCATTATTTCTTGAGGAAAGAGGGAGGCAATAAGCTGTGAGGTATCAAAAATGTAAAATTCCTTGGACACACACGCGAAATAATGGCAATTTTTTCTTGACCGTTTTCTTGAGAGCTGCATACAGGGCTTATTTCGTGTGTGTGTCCAAGGAATTTGATAAATAAATAAATAAATAAATAAAAAAACCCCCTCTATCCCACTATTTTCCTTAATTCAGTACTCGGGGGTTACCATTATAAAAATTTCCCACGAAAATTTCACCAAAAATGTGTGGTGAAAACAAACAGGGACAGTCAACTGATAGCACGTATGTATGCCATTTTGCTCGCGCTGGTCCAACAGTCGTATTGAGAGATCCCAGTTGGAGGCAGGCAGGAGATTATTTTCTTTTTTATTTAATTGTTTTATTTTTGGTCTTTTATTTTATTTATTTTGAAATAAAAATCAGCAGCTAATGTGCTATGAAATTTTTCTGGAAAGTTTTGCCAATCTGCTGTGTGAAATGAAATATTTTTTGACAGCAGTAAATTTTTGATAATCGCGGATTTATGTGGAATAAAATATTACAAATTGAAGTGAAATTAATATTTTGAGAAAACATCTACCATCGTTGATTGCAATTCATTAAGCTTTTATTTAAAGAAGACTTACACACAGCAATAATCTTTGCGATTGTCAAAATTTTCTATGCATTTGTCAAAAATTTCACTAGCCTCATTAGCTAGTGAATTTTTATTCACCTCATAGTTGTCAAAAATTTACTCGCCGCGAACTTTGTTACCGATTCACACACGCTCTAAATAATAATAATAATGTTCAACAAAATTTTTGTCATTGAATTTTTATGATGCTAAAGCACATATTCGCTTAATTTTCGCGATCTTTTCCTCCATAATTTTCTTTTTGAGACTAGAGACGTGAGACAGCTTACTGAATACCAGGGTATTAGCCCTGATGGATATGGATTTTGGGACTATTTCTATGTGACAGGCATGTACCCTGGTATTCAATACGCTGACGTTTTAGTCTCCATAAAGAAAGATATGGAGGAAAAGAGAATCGCGAGGACATATTTGTTGAACAACAATAATAATAATATAATAAAAACCCAATAATTATAAAATGTTTTTTTATAACATTAAAATCTTCAGATTATTTAAAATTAGAATTAGAAAAAAAACAAATCATTTAAAAAAATGTCGTAAAACATCAAACTCTTCAGTTTATTTAAAAAAGAATTAGAAAAAAAAACAAATCATTTAAAAAAAATTTAGTACCCGAGGACTCGAACTCGGATCTGTTGAGTGGCCCTCTAGCGCTCTGTTCACTCGGCCATTGCGGCTGTTAGAACAGCGCGAGCAAAATGGCATACATACATTCTATCAGTTGTGATAAAGAAAAAAAAAACATCGGTATACGTACTTAATGTCTGTCACATCGAAATAGTATCAAACTCTATAGTATGCATACCATAGTGTACAAACCACGTGTCTGTCAGGGCTATAAAACAATGTTGTTTCTCTCAAGGCTTTCTTCTCCCACCACCCTTCGCAATTAAATTCAGCCAAGGACTCATCACTGAAAAGCTTTTTGAACACGCCGCCAACGTCGTCCGATACGCCTTGTACAAGTATGTGGTCTATTGAAAGGGGGTTGTTTTTAATAAAACCAAAATTCAGACCTAAATCTAATTCATACGGAACAAATTGTGCGACAAAAGTAAGATTAGGTTCATTCCTTATCTTTTTGGACTAAAATCTGAAAAGTGTCAAAATGCCAGAGCGTAAGCAAAATGCGCACACTAAAAGAGAATAACAGGAAAAGTAAAGGAACGCAAAAAACCAAATTTTTAGTCCAAAGAATGGCAACAACAAAACTAACGTCAAATAAGAATAGAAATGTATGTACAAAACACATTCACACAAGCACAAGCACAATAAACACTTGCTATATCAATTATTTTTTGCCTCCTTCCAATTTCAATTCATTTCTTTTACTTTTTAAATTATTCTCACTTTTTGCGTATTCTTTAATTTCCGTTAATTTAAATTCAGTTGAGTTTGACACTTTTCAGGATTTTGCCAGAAAAAATTCTTCTGACTAAATCTGACTACTTCGGCCTGATGAGAGTCCCTCTCACTGACTTTTGCTCTCTCATTTTTGCTGTCATTTCCGAGTTAAGGAACGCTTTTTGGACTAAATCTGACTACTTCGGACTTTTTCTGACTATTTCTGGGAGATAAGGAACGCTCCTATTATAGTTGATTCATTTAATGGGCTGTTTTTGCTTACGCGTAAAAGCACGTTTAGCGCATTTAGCTCTAAATGCTACTCTAAATGTACATTTATCCATACAAAATTCGTCACCTAAATGCAACTAAATGCAACTCCATTTTTGCATTAAGAATCTAAATGCTAAAAGCAACCCTGTGATCTTCCAAAATTTCCACGATTCGAACATGGTTTAATGAGAAAAAGTGGCAACATTGCATTTTCGAGTATACAGTGGCTAGCTGCGTTTCAGTGATCGCCGATCAAGATTTCATTTATTATTTTACATTATTTGGATAAAGAAAAGTTAAGAAAATTCAATATCGATATGATGCTGATAGAAATCTGGATCAATTGGTGATCAATTCTGTTTGTTTTGTTTCCTAATTAAGTGGGGAAATTTTAATTGACAGCACCGACAAATGAATATATACATAAACAAATGGTCGGTCATGGTTAAAACAATTCAAATTTTTGTATTGACGTTTTGGTTTAAAATTTATTTTTTCCTTTTTAGTAGCGTTTTTGCACATTATCTGCTGCGTGAGAATTGATCGTAATAGATACGGATCTGAATAAGCGACTGGAACACGGCTGTTTGTCAAAAGCATACGATTTCGAACTCGCGTAAATGTACATTTGCTAAATGCGATAGCATGAACGCTCTTCGAAAACATATGTTCGAAAGTGCTAAATGGTGCATTTTAAATGCAGCAAAAACGCTGCATAATACTGGAGTTTTTACCCGTAATAAAAGTTTCGCTATAATTGCTTCTCTAAATGTTCATTTATCCATACAAAATTTGTCACCTAAATGCAACTCCATTTCTGCATTATGGGTCTAAATGCTAAAAGCAACCCTGTGGTCTTCAAAAATTTCCACTATTCGAACATGGTTTAATGAGAAAAAGTGGCTACATTGCTTTTTCGCGTATACACTTTCTAGCTGCGTTTCAGTGATCGCCGATCGAGATTTCATTTATTATTTTACATTATTTGGATAAAGAGAAGTTGCGCAAATTCAACATCGATGTGATACTGATAGAAATCTGGCTCAATTTTTGATCAACTCTGTTTTTTCCTATTTAACTGAGGAAATTTCAATTGACAGCACCGGCAAATTAATATATACACAAACAAATTACCGGTTATGGTTAAAACCAAACAATCATGATGCAACGATTACATGACGACTACACTTTCGCACTCTCGGTCGTGATATATCAATTCATTTGGCGTCTAAAAATACACTTAGAGCAGGTATTTTCTGTTCTTCTGGTTGATATTTTCGCGAAATATTTACAAAAACCGGCCGCTGCGGTGTAGTGGTAAGTAGAGCACGCTTCCACACCACAGCGCCTTTGTTCAAGACCTAGTCAAAGCAACATCGCAAAAGTTTTAGAAAAAAAAGTTTTTTTCTTAACAGCGGCTGCCCCTCAGCAGGCATTAGCGGACCTCCGAGTGTATTTCTGCCATGAACAGCTTCTCATAAAAATATAATCGCCGTTCGGAGTCGGCGTAAAACTGTAGGTCCGTACAGTTTGTGTGAAAACTTCAAGGCGCACGCCACAAATCGGAGGAGAAGTTCGGCCAAACACTAACACATGTGTAAGCGTGAATCTATTATTATAATTATTATTTACAAAAACCTGCATTTTAAAAAATATGGACTGTGCTGCAACAATTCTTGACATAATTTTTCATTAAACTCTCTTCTTTTCTTTTCCTGATATAGATTTTGTGCACGCGCGCAGAGAGTTTCCACACTTTCGTCGTATTTGATAGTTAAAACTTTCACATTTATTGAAGAAATACTAATTTTCATGCAATTTTAATGCAAATACATATTCGCCTGGGTGAAAGATCGTCGTAAGCGCTATTTTGAAGACTTTTAGTTCTAGATGCAGTTATATATTTTGAAATAAGGTCTTTCGATTGGTGTTATCAGTTTTTAGATATCTCCTTTAGTATCCGAGATATTGACTACAATTTTTCGATGATTTAGTAAAAATTTAGTTAGTGATGCAGTCATATTAAACTAATCAATATCTTAGAAATGGTGTTCTCCATTTTTGTAGGAGATATACATAGTTTCCGAGATATTGAGTAAAAAGTGACGTTAGCTTAGTAGAAATTTTGATCACATTTTGTAGTATTTCATACAAAGTGGCTGCCAAATTGTGGACAAATGGCGCTTACGACAAAATTTTACTAAAGAAAATCCTTCGTAAACTCAAAACTAATTTACAATTAACAATAAAATTAAATAATTTAAGATTTTTGTGAACAAATAACATTTTCAGAGTTTGGAGAAAATCTATCTTCGCGCTTTTGAGAAATTGTATTCCAAACTTCAATCGCGATTTCCCACAACCTACAGAAATTATAATACGACAATCTTTTACCCAGGAGACGATAT